AAAAATTCTTGTCCATTGTTTGCAAATTCTGCAAACAGACCTTATCAAAACTCCGATTCTAAGTTGTTGACTTTCTCTAAGCCATTATTATGGCTGAAACTTTAGGGCCGTTGTCCTGTCTGAATAGAATTCCCCTGTATTTTGCTCCATTTATCTTCCCATCAACTCTAACCAGCTTTCCAGTCCCTGCTCGGAAGCTGGGACTGGGTTTGAGCTTCCCAGCAGGAAGCTCTAACCAGAGCAGGAAGCTCTAACCAAAGCTTCCTGCTCTGGTTAGAGAGCAGAACAGTATTGAGGAGTATCAGAGGAGAATGGGCTCAACAGAAGTTTGAAAGATTTATAACCAAACTTGATTTGTAGCAACAATAGTGAAAATAATTCAAGCCATAAACAGTTAGATTACAATTAGAAAATAGAGAGATTATTGAACGTTCAAGACAAAAGAATTGGTGAAGAATCAAGAGAAACAATTTACATATTGAACATTAATTTAATGGGATGTAAATTAAAGAATCTACTTCTCTGAGTAAAAATATTTTGCACATAGAATATCCATTAAAAATCTTTCATTCCAAACACGACATTGGTGTTTTAGACAGAAATAACATTTTTGTACAATTACAAAACCAAACTCACAACCGAACGCCTGCCATGTGTGAAATGCAGGATACAGTCAACAGTATACAAATCATATTCACTTGCCTGTTATGTTTGATATATTTAAAATTGTGAGTTTTAAAGGGGGTTTTTAAAACAGAAATATAACCAGTTTGAATTGTGAGAGGATCCCCCATCACTGCCACCTGGTGGTATGTTTGTTCCTTTGACATGTCAGCCTCCAAATGTGGGCTCTTTCATCTTTTCATGTCCATTTTTTCCCCCATGAACTTCAGGACTTATCCAGTCTGGTGGGATATGAATCACCTGTTTGCAATCAGCGTTTTCACCGCCACTTCTGTTGTTGATGCTGTGAAAAGTTCAGATCAACTTTCTCATGTTGAAGCTGGTGATACATGAAGCCTTAACTCCCATGTCCAGTTTCCATGAGTTCTGCATAAGAGGCTGGTGCATTGTGGGGAAGAAGCAGATGTGTCCGTACTGCAAAGAAAAGGTGGATCTGAAGAGGATGTTCAGCAATCCGTATCCTTCTTGTTCTTCCAGCCGTAAAACCTTTTATAACACAACTTTATGAATTACTTTTTGTGCTCAATATTGAATCTTGCTGTTGAGTATTATAAAAAGTCAAGCTAAATAATAAACTTCTTAGAAGTTTAAGTTGAGCGGAACTAAGTGATGATAATTAATGTACTAGAAATTTCCAGCTTGCATATCAAGTTCTTGTTCCTTTTTATGGATCAGTTAAAGACATTAGAGGCGTGTGACGCAGTTTCCCAAAACAAACAGAATTCTACTAAATTAGACGATCGAAATGCTAAAGTCCACCTTTAGCATTTCAGTTCAGGGAAAGAAAACTGGTTTATTTTTATCTTAAGTGATTATTTTAAGTTAGAGTATTATGAACAGATTATATTTTACATAAGGCCAAACAGAAATATTCCTAACATAAAAGAGTTGTGGCCCATCTAGTCTGCTGAGAGGCCCTCCACAAGGGGCATAACCCACAAAACGGTGCAGAGTGCTGAATCCAAGGACATCAGTTGAAAGTTGAGTGGAAGGAAGAAATGGGTTGGAAGGTGGAACTGTACACGTAGCAGGCATACGTGTGAATGTTCACTAGGTGTGGTTTGTGCATCAAGAGCCGCCACACAATCACTGGATTTACTCCTGCGGGTCTTTAGTGAATCACAGGCTGATCCGTGTCATGCTGCATTGATGCAATAAGTCGTTTTAAAAGCGGCCTAACCCAAGTATTCATGCATGTGCTGCACTGTACATGCTAATAGGTTTTCAGTATGCTGATTAAAGAGTAGATTTTTATTAACTTAGTTGTTGTGTGGTTCTCTAAGCAGCTGAATTTAGGGTCTTCATTCGCTCGAAGCCGTAATCATCAGAATTAGCAAAAAAATAAACTTGAAATGTATCAATTTATGTCTATTATTTATGAGCTTAACGTCTTACGTTAGGTTGAGTTTCATTGATATTCTAATTGAGTTCCTGATTCAGTTGTTGAGGTGACATCTCTTCTGATGAGTTCGAGTTGTTCTCCTTCACCGTTTCCTTCAGCTGGGAGAGGCCGCACGTCATGTATGGACAACTTTTGGACTGGCTTCGATACCTGGTTGCCTGGCAACCCGTCATCATCGGGTTTGTCCAAGGCATCAACTACGTCCTGGGTCTGGAGTGATCCCGGACTAAAGACCTCAATGGACTGAGAAGATATGCACTGGCTCCAAAAAGACTGTGGGCCTAACATTAAACTGAAACACCAACAAAAGTGTCTCTACTTTTTGTAAATATTTATAGGCGCATATCTGTATTTACGGTTCATTTGAATTTTATTAGTGCTCTCTTTCTGGAGGTCTGTTCATTTCCTGGGATCCATTTCTCACACATGTGATTTGTTATTTGGTTAAACTAGTAAATTGGTTTGAAAAAGGTGCTTCTTACTGATTCGTCTTAAATATTTGAAGGTGTCATGGTTGAATCATGTTTATGTCTGAAAGTTATGAGTCACACATTTTTTTGCGGAAAACGTCAACAATTTGATACTTCCTCAAATTGACACATTTTATTCTTTCAATTTAATCACTCATCTCACTGCTTCACATTTGTCAGTGTATTTTTAGCTCAACGTTGCATAGGTTTCTTAAAACTGATGTCAAAAGTCTTCTGACTAGAAGCATCCAGTCAATGGGGAAAACCTTTCAATCATACTGATCACCCTGTCATAAAGGTCACTTTCAGGGTATTTTTTAGCAATATCCTAACTTTAACATGTTGTAGCGCTGAAGTAATAGAGGTTATTTAGTTGGTCTCGCACTATTTCAAGACCATGGGAAACTTTTTTCCCCCAAAAACCTATATTATTCAAAGGCATCATACTGGTTAATTAAAATCAAAACATAATGATCCTGGTCAAACTGGCTCCTTCTGGGTCTCCTCTTTAATGTACAATATTAAATATGTATTTAAAAAAACAAAAACAAATGAAGACTTTAGCAGTTTTTGTATGGATTGTTTTTGAAGTATCACAACAGAATGAAACAACTAAAGTTTTGAGTGTAATTATTTTTTTAACATCTGTTTTTCTGATTAGTTTGGAAGTGGTGTTTTTGTTTGGTTTTCATTATTGGCTCCTAGGTCTCCCCAAGAAAACTTGCCAACCCCATGGTTAGACGGTTGGCAGCCCTTCATCCTGTGGGCCGCCGTGTTTTTGAGTTAAAAACTGTTTAAAGCCGACTGAAAATTTGAAAATATGCCATGATATTTATGTTATATTGGAAGATTAATACATGAACACCAACTATAAAGTCTTTTTTTAAAAATGCAAACATTTTAAAGACAAATGAATAAGCAATATTTAGTCTGGTGGGGCACAATTAAAGCCTGGTGGCCTGCCAGGCTTATAATGCACTGGGGGAAACCCTGTACATCTCAGAGAAACTTGAGCCATGCTCTTTTTGCAAAAGTTTTATGTATTTTATTTTAAAGCTTTAAAAAAAGTAATTTTTTTAAAAATGAAACTTATTCTATAATAGCTATTAACCAAGAGATTCTAAGTTGTTTTTCTTCAAAAAGTCATGTAAAATTTGCAGCTCTCAAGTTTTATTTCACACCACAACTGTTAAAAGTTGTTGTGTAACTTTCACTACAAAAATATTTTTACTCACTTTAGTAAAAGTTATTTTAGTGAAGGCAAAAGCAGCTCTTTTTGTTTGTAAAGGTTACACACTCCTGGGCTAAATATTTATTCATTTTGGCTGACATTTTCAAAGGTCAAAGCTCTAAAAATGTTTTAGAGCTGAATTCTTCCCATCAAAAATGATCAGGTCTGTATTACACTTCTCAAACGACAAATCAATCAGTACCCTTTAATAATTGTCTCATGACAATGATTATGTATAATGTAGGAACCGCACGTTTGCAGGGTTTCCACTGAGTCAGCGTGCGTAGCAACATAGAGTCACTAAGTGACACACAATCAAAAACTGTTGACCTCAAGCAACAAAACTGAGGAAATCCCCAGACACTGAGGGGAAGTGTGTGCAACTGTATAAAAGGATCCCTGGCTGCAGATACTGTAGACGCCAGACGCCAACAGAACAGATCAATATGAAGCTGCAATCTGCTATCACGGGTAATTGTGTTTATTGATGAAAATATTTTTATTTTTGTTTCCATTTTTGTGATCATTTTGTGGTCTGTGTAACAGCTTTTGGATCTCTGTACCTGCTGTTTGCTCATGGGTTTCCAGGTGAGGATCAATTAAATATGACAGGTTTATATTGTATATGTTGAGTATGTATATTGGCTCATTTCAGCTGTTCAGTTTCAGAGTATGACGCTCCAAAGATTATCGGGCCTCTGCACAGCAAAATAAAGGTGCATCCAGGTAACTCGTGCCTTATCCTTTTATTTGCATCCTGACATTCATGTCTACCAGGATCTGTTGTTTGGTCTTCAAAATTCTTTCAGGTAATCTCCACTGAAAGCTTTATTTCAACCCTGGATTGTGGATCTTTCCTTCCAGGTGAGCATCTGATTCTCCACTGTGAGGCGTTACCAAACTGCGACGACGATGAGGCTCTCATCTACTGGCTCGTCAACGGCACTTTCCCCGAAGAATCACCCAGCCATGACAGATTAATCGAATCAAACGAGTAAGGATCATTTATTTACATGATTTGAATGCTTGCTTTCATCTTGGTTCTGATTGCAAACAAATCTTGTTTTAGGTCATCTTTAATGGAGGGATTGGTCCTACGGAAGAATTTGCTCTTGAAAAACGTCACATTGGAGGACTTTAGTTCCAGCTTTAGCTGTGTTGTGACAAATGCAGTAGGAATGGCACAGAAGTTTATAAAGTTAACAGGCACTGATTGTAGTGGTAAACAATAGAGGCTAGTTTATTTTGCAATATGCACATTTAACATGAATTGTATGTTGTTCTGGTGGAAGAGTCTCTTTAGCTACAGAAGTATAGAGAAAAAAAATGTACAAAGCAAAACACTGGCTGCAAGCTGAGAAATATGTAGTGCTTTGAAACGTAAACAAGCATTCATCTAAAGGCAGCACTGAGGCACATTACATTGACTTCTGTGTAAAAACAAAATTACAAAAATAAATCACTGAGCTTTTCACTCTCCTGTTTTGTTTGCTTATACCAGGTTTCTTTTTAATTTAAATAAAACCTTGAATAAATATGTGTGACCTGGGTAATGTAAAACATGCTTTTGTCTCAAACAAGTTACTTCTTTATTGCATAAGACCAGAGTAGTCAGGCACTCTGAGAAACAAGAGAATCAAATTTGCACCATCACAAGCCAGATTTTTTTTTTCTTCATGCACCAAAAAGAGTAAGAAGTGGTTGTAAATCCATGTGTTTACTCTTCATTTTTATTTCCTCTAAAGTGTATATATTTATACTTTTATTTGTGTACTGTGAGCACTTTAAACCAGTCAAATTCTTTGTGCTCATAAACTTGGCCAATAAATTCTGATTCTGAATATTTGTCCTGTCTGTTATTTTAGAACAAATACATGCTGCATGTATTTTTGTCACTAAATGTGCCACAGATTCTATGAAATATTGATATTTATCATAAACTTAAAATAGAAAGTTTTATAGTCTTACTTGATCAAATACACAATGGGACAAAGAATAAAGATTTGAGATCAAATTTCTTTTCAGTATCATTGTTTTCATACAAACACAGATATAGAAAATATATTTATATAAAAAAAACACACACACATTTTCAGACAGCATTAGGAGCCATGCAATTTAAGACCAGATGTGTACATACATGTAATATTGAGTGTTGAATCAGTTTTATTACTTTACTTTATTACATTTTATTAGTTAATGCAAAGAGGAAGGGGGGAGGCTAAAGGACAAAATTACCCTATTATTCCACTTTAGTCTTTAAAACTTTTTCAAATAATTACATGTCATGAGCTCCTCCTTCCAGGTCAATCTTTAATCTAACAGGTAATTATATTATTACAAAAAAATGACAATGAATCAAAACTTAAGACTGTCCAGATCAAGGTTTCTGAAAATGTAAAGACTTTTTTTGCCTGAAGAACTAAAAACTCTTACATATTCTGATTTTAATTTAATATAATTGTTTTAGATGTATTCTAAGACTCGTGTCCAAAATCCATTCCTGTGAGTCCAGTTGTTTACCATTTGTAGAATTACTCCCCATGTGATCTTGTATCTTCTATTGCATCTGAAAACCTTTAAATGGCAGCAAGAGACACTGAATGCACAACTCTGCCACAGCCTTTAGATGAGAAAACGCACGGTGAGAGAGGGTTGCCTTATCCAGACTTTTAATTTGGACTGGAAATTTCTGCTCATTAATACTGGGAGTTTCTGCAGATTAATCAAATATAGCGCCTTGCAAAAACTTATTACAACCTTGATCACAAGGTTGATCACATTTTGTCAACCTGAAACCTGAATGCATTTTATTGGGATTTTCTGACAGACACTAAAGCACAACATAACTGTGAAGCTGAAGTATTTTTAAAAACTACAAATATGGAAAGTGTGTATTTACATTCAGCCCACCTTCAAAAATTCCCTGGTTAGAAAGTGACATCACTATTTCTTTATACATAAAAACGGGGCTATGATGGAATGACTTGGTTTAAATCATATTAATGAATGGTAAAGGCTCAAAGTCCAACCCTAAATGAAACTGGGAGTTTTAAAAAAAAATGTCAACAATGATTAATTAGCTTCCTTTCCTCCTGCAGTTCCTCCTGCTTTGTTTGTTGTGTAACACAAAATCCCAACAAAAAGCTTTGGGGTTTGGGGCTTTAACATGTTGGAAAAGTCATGAAGCTACTGAAACCACTGAAGATGGGAGAAAACACCTTATCACTTAGACAATATCCTGATAGTGTCTCACATAAGTTAGCAGCTTTTTTATGAATAGGTTTCCCACTCAAACATAAATTGCTAGTCTCAGTGTGCCTTACCCATGCATGCGACTTTTCTCCGATACTAAAGTGTACTACTGTGTTTTCTTGCGTAGTGATTGGCCATTTTATGCACTTTGACTTGGAGCAAATTCAAAGGCTCACATCTCCAACTCCTCCAGGCAACAGTTCAAGTTCTTACTCCGATCTGGATGCTTAGATCCTTGGCTCTTCTTGATGAGAGAGGCACAGTCTTTGGCTAAGTCTAGGATCTCCGCAGAGGGCTTGTGAAACGGCAGGAGAAGTTTTTGGTTGGTTTTGCATCCCATCCCAAAGAGGAAACGCAAGAACATGTCCAGTTTGCCATCTGGGCATTGCAGGCTTTTTTCCACTGCTGCCTTGTACAGCTCCATTATTCTGTGTCCCTTGGTGCTCAATCTGAATTTTGGTTTCAGCGGTGGATCAAAAATGTTCTTGTCGTGGTTCCTGAAGGAGAGATATGCATAGAGAGCAGCCATGTACTCCTGCACGGTGGGGTGGAGAAAACACACCACGTCCTCATGGGACAGGACGAATGGAGATGTCGTATACTGCACGCAAATGCCACTTCTGTTCACTGCCTCTGTGTGACAGAAGTCAGGAGATTTCGACCTCCTAATATGAAACTGACCCTTTTCCAGCAAGGTGAAGGCAAATTTCCCAAGATCCATGAGCAAGTTCAGCTCTTCCTCTGGACTTATAGCTGGAGCTCTTGTTTTACGAATGTGAAGAAGCTTCAGGAGGAGCTTCGTGTACATGTACGTAATGTTCGTGGGGAGTTTTTCTTCCGTTCTCGACTCTCGGAGGACGTGTTGGTACTCATCTGCCAACAACGTGCAGAACAAGGGCAGGCAGCACATGATATGGAGAGTTTTTATCGACTTGACGTGCTCAATGACACGGGTCGCCTGATTTGGGTCCTTAAACCTCTTCCTGAAATACTCGTCTTTGTTTTCGTCTGAGAAACTGCACATTTCGATCTCGTCGTACTGTCCATCCCACGGGGCGCAGCGTTCAGTTTGGGGCCGGGACGTTACCATGAATCGCGAGCGGCTGAGAAACCGGCCTCTGAGGATGTTAGTCAGGAGAACCTTAATGGTCGTGGGAGAAGTGGCATTAGAGTGAATTTCTGTTCGCATAAAGTTAAACTCATCAGGGTACTCGTCTAGACCGTCCAAGATATAAAAGGCTTCATCGTTTTCATACCTCAAGCCCTCGGTTTTTATCCTCTCTGCCATTGGGTACAGTTTGTTCACTATATCCATCAGAGAGACCTTCGTTTCTAAATACTCGTTCATCTCTCTGATTGTTATGACATAGATAAAGGAGAAATGCTGGTGTGATCGCCCCCGAGCCCAGTCAAGGGCAAGCTTTTTGACAAACATGGACTTTCCCGATCCTGCCAGCCCATAGAGATACACCAGCCTTGCATGAGTTTTGTCTAGCCATTCCTGAGAGAGTGTTTCTGCAAACGAAAGCCGATCGCCTGGCTTCTTCTTGGTGTACGGCTTGGCTATTTGCATGACCTCATGTTCCATATTTGGGCCATTGTCATAATTTGACAAAGTAGAGATGTCTGCATAGATGTCATCCATTGGCGTTGTTTGTCCTTCGGTAATCGACACGTCGCTGTACCTCTGTATTATCAATTCACATAATTCATGACGAATTTGATCTGGAAGAGAAAAAAAAATCAGGTAAAGATCAAAACATGATCTGTAGAGCTGCAAAAAAAGTATTTGCATCCTTTGAGACGTCTTGTCAATTTTTAATAGAGGAATATGTTCTGTTCTTGGATTTGTTTAGATTTTTGCAAGATGAATTGCTTTTTGAGTTCTTTTAGTGCATCTCATGCTGTCAGATTCGTTTTGTTAAGATTCAACAAACCTGTTGATGGCTAATGAAACTGAACCAAACAAATGTGGTCATCATTTGAAAACTGCTCATTGCGTTTGTTCAGGTTATCTGATATTAACATTTGTTTCATCTAAGAAAAGAAGAATTCTTTGTCAAAGCAATGAATCATTTGTGTTACTTTTAAATGGAGATGAACATGGTGAACGCTCTCACTTTTGATGTACAATGCCCGCAGATGTTCAGCAACATTTTTTTTACTGATGCTGACGAGAATGGTTCTGGTGATCTGCACAGACATTTCACAGCTGAAGGTCTCCACCAGTCGGTCCACAAGGTCCACGATGTCCATGCTTTGAGAGGCGCTGAAAGGCTGCGGGTAATGAGTCCACAGCGTCCACTTGAACATCCTGAAATCGTCTTCATGCAGCTTCTTCAGGGTCTCACACAAAGCCTAAGAGAAAAAAAGAACAAATAAATGAATCACTTCCAGGTTGAGCTGGTTTTGAAGGCCCGGTGAAGGTGAATGCCACATTAGCACACCTTGAAAGTGAATTGTAGGGTCAGAGATGGATGCTTGATTTCCTCTGGGTCTTGGATTAATTCGAGCTTGTTCGAGGGCTCTGTGACTTCCTCTTTGCTTTCTTTTCTGGTGAAAGCCCAACACACAAGTTTCATTACATCTTAGGGTCACGTATCAAACAGCCACATGGGTTAAAATCTGACACTGTGGTCACATTTCTTACTTAATGAGCTTTTCACAGTCATTGCTGTCAACGGAGTAGCAGCTGGAAAATGAACCCACTCTTTCCAGCCGGACGCTAAAACCAGAAAGACAATGACGCTTTAACGTTATAGTGATCCATCAGCATGAATGCGAGCACCTAAAGTGATCATCATGCTTAAACTTTTGTTAGTCTTTAATGCTGCTTCTACCTTGTAGGGATCTCCTCCTGGTCTGTCATACCGTCTCGCTCTTCTTCACTAGTCAATTTTTCATAGCTCTGAGCCGGAGTCAAGGCCTGATCCACAAAATGCCTGAAGGGAGCAGAGTTAAGAGTTTTTAGATGAAGTGATGCACAAATCAGTCATCCAATAGTTGAAAAGAAAAAAACATATTGGTTGTTGTTTAGCCATTGGTTGGTGATCAGCAGGTAAAATAGAATAGAAATCTGGAGCCAGAAATCAAGCAGATTCTGCCCAGAGTGTTGACCAGCCAGCCAAGAGATGACCCAAAAGTAAGAACTTCAGCATCAAACCCTCACAGGACAATCTGAAGGTGTTACACCAGTGTGACATAACTATGATTTATAGTTCTTCAAACTGGAATCAATAGAATGCATAAAAAGCAGAGATTAGAAAATATACTTTAAATTTGTTTTCATTCCTGAGAAAGAAAATCTTAATTAGTAGGTCAGAGAAAACTAGAAATCTGTGTTTATCAGTAAAAGCTCATCTGTGCATCTCCAGTTAGTTGCTTGGTTTTCACAGAGCAATAAGCACAAGATCAGCAGTTCAGTCTGACCTCAATGAACTCCTGCAAGCAGGATCAAGTCAGGCATTTAAACTGAAATGCCTTAAAGTTGACAGACGAGAACAAATTTTTCTTTTTGAGGGGAACTTGCACTAACTCTACTTTCCTCCAGGAGGCATATTTTTGCTACTTTTAAACATCTGTAATTACATTTATGTAGCCTGATAATAAACGTAATTTTAAAAAAGTATTTTTCTTACAGATTATTTTTTTTGCATCCTGCTAAACTGATGCACAGTGTTTTATAATTAAATTGCATTCAAGTGTAAGTCATAAGGTTATGAAAGTTTGTCTTAAAGCAGATAACAATAATCCTTAAAGCTCTAGTGATTTATCTTGTCCACAAGTACAGGCTGCTTTCATTACATTTCAAGGTAGACTTATTTCAGTGAAAAGGAATCTTAGAATGTATAGTGATGACCTTTGCCCTTCTCCACTAACAGCACACATTCTTTCCATCTCTCTCTATATTATTCAAAGTGATTGCATTATATGAATTTTTAGCTCGTTTGGAAAGGCTAAAAAGTCATAGACCTCAACGTACCATTGACTGGTGTCCATAGGAGATGGTCCAAGGTCAAGAGATGGTCTCCTCTCAGGAATGTAGTAAAGATCCTCATCCCCATGGGATTCAACATCTCCTCTACTAGACACTGCATCCCCAATGGAAGAGTTGTCTGACATCATGGTGTTCGATTCAGCCATTATATCATGCAGAAGTGTACTCAGCGACCGAATCGGCAAGAATGTTTTTTCTTCCCAGTGTGACCACTTCGTAACTTGCCTGAACCTGTACAACACAAATTAAAGAGAAGAAGAAGAAATACCGGTGAGGACCAGATATACAGGTTTTTTCAGAGCCATTCTGCTCCAGGGCATATCATGTTGCTTTCTTAACATAAAAGCTTGAGCATTCAAGCAAATTAATTAGAGACAAAGTGAATTTAGATAAAAAGGTGAAACAATTGTAGAAAAGACCCTGAAGGGAAAAAATATATATTAATACCTGGTTTTACGTTTAAATACTTATGTGTGACTTGCATTTCTGGATGGACAAATTATGATCAGATGAGTATTGAGTCCTCATCTGATCATCTCCTTAGTTATGGGAGTTATTTTTTTCCGATAATCTATTTTGCATTTCAATAATCATCCAGATCTGAAAAAAATGATGCAATTCCAAACTTATGTCCCACACTGCCAGCGGTGGGACATAACAGCACATAAGGTGTAAATTCACACGCCACGTCATGAATCCAACTTATTTAAATTATCTGGGAGGTTTATATGTTAAGAAATTAATCTAAATGTGGACAACGTGACATGTTGGAAAACACTAGTTTTAAAAACCGCTTCTTTTCCCATAAATTGAGAGCTTCTGTCTGTTTAGATCAAAATCATGACTTATCATATTATATCGTTTATGTGATCTACAATTAAAAGCCATGTGTTTGAAGCTTTGCTTCACTATTCTACACGCCAGAGATAAAGAGCTTGTTCTCCTGTCACTGAAGCTAAATGAGCTGTGAGTATTTAGCTAACTTTCTCGGTGTCCCAAAGACGATTTTTCCCAAAGCTAGTGTTGTCTAAACTTTCACTAATACGTTCATAAACGACGTAACCATGTAATCATCTTAATACCCGTTACACATGTAAATGAGTTGGATAGGATATCAAATTTTATTGTTAAGAAATAATTACCGCTCTTTTGACAGAATAGTTAGCTTACCTCGGGGAATCTTGGCTACAAGGAAGTTCCTTTTTCTTGTTCGCTGTCAAACTGTAATGGAGATTGATGAACTCGACTGCCCCCTAGGGGATAAAGTCATTAAACGCACTAAAGCCTTAAAGATCACCAACTGAACGTTGGTTGTATTTCTGTCATTTGGAAGAACAGCAAATATATCTTAATGTTCTTTTAATGTTAAAAACAGTTAGCACTTTAAACCCCTAAGTTTTAAATAATAAATTAATTCAGGCAAAGGTTTTCAAAAATTCTTTCTTTCTGATAAAAAGCTATTCTTGTAAATTAAAATGTATAGATAATTTTAACGTTACATTATAGATGTTCCCAATTGCATTTAAGGTATATTGTTTTGTCTGTATGCATAAAGATAATAAGTTGTTTCAATATATTTTTCCCCGCTGCCATGAATAAAGCATGGCTAACAAACACACATTTTAATGGTTTGGTAAGACTTAATTCGCAGCTCATGTGGAGCTTCCCTATGAAAAGATAAATCATTCAGTTTTATATCATGATGCTGTTGTTATGTAAGACTGGAACTGAATGTCAATCCCCTGCATCAGAGTTTTCCTTGGACTGAAAAGTATGATTCACAGAGATAAAAAAAGAATCATGATTTATAGAAGCTGTATCAAGTCACATTCTCACATTTCCCACTGTTCCTCTCGTTCTAGGATTATTGATCTTTTTGACGGTCACTGCTAGCAGACTTGGGTTTCAATCTGCTGCACTGGCTTTTATGTAGGTGATCGCAAATAAACATTTAAAGACCACTGAGTGTGTAAAAGTCCATCCCTCTTTTTCCCATTATTTAATTTTATTGAACACTATTGTTTCCGCATACTATGGAACTTGACTGAAAAAGTATGTTATACTACGGTGAAATAAGGATGGTACAATTAATTATAGTCTTATTTCTTATTATTAGTAAACCCAGTATTATTGACCCTTTGTTACTAGATCCTTGACATGTTTCTGACCATTTCTGCCATTTCATTGCTGTTTCTATTTGATTCATGCACATTACATTATATTCCTTCCTCTACATATAAGCTCAGTTTCACATTGATGTGCTCTTTTCTTGCAACTTATAGCCTTTATAATTTGCATTAGGAATACATTTATTATATGACATGAAATCATCACATGAAATCAAAAACAAACCAATTTTCTGCTTGGTTAACGAGCAAAACAGGAGTGCAGCATCCCTCACCTGGCCACAAAGCAGCTTTTAAGTTAATACTCAATTAGATCTCTTGAAAAATGGCAGCAATGTATTTGTAAGGAATGTAGTCCTGATTCCAATACTCTTTGGATTTAACGTCCTGTGAGGCAAAGCTGAATGTTTGCAATTAAAGCCCAACTCATCGTTATTTGCAAAATCATTATTTTTTTTAAATGCCTTTCAGAAAAGGCCTCTTCAAGAAGAAGAGGCCTTCATAAATTCATATTGAATTCTAAGGTCAATTAAAACCCCTGAAATGTAGTATTTATTTACTTAATTACAGTCTACTGTAAATATGACTTAATACTGAGCAATGAATGAGTAAGAAAAGGTTTAAACCCTGAAGCTGTTTAGTGGTTTATATAAAGATCATGGCATGTCAGCATCCTCTTTTCCTTGGTGACCACTGGTCCACTACAGTGCGCTTTGTGTGATGGAGGCGAGCAGCGACAAAGACAGCAGGAGAAAACAGTGGCTTGTATGGAGGGCAATCAGTGCCCTCAAGCTCACAGAAGATGTGAAGGAATTAGCATCAGAATACACCACGGTGTTTTTATTTATTGGAAACAAGTATCAAAGTCTAATTTTATACAGTTTCTTTTCACCAAATGTCAGTGATCTTTGTTTTAGCTGAATGTGTGTGTCATTATTTGTGCAGCCCATGCATATAAACCACCTTGACCCAGACACAAAAGGCCTGGAGGTGATAAATCAGAAAGGTAAACAAACACTCATTCATGATTGTATTGTCTCCTACATGCTACTCACTTTTGTTTTTTTGTTTTTTTCAGTGGCAATGAATAAATTCATTTTACTGCACATAACAATCATGTTTCTTTCAGTCACTAAACACAAATGTAATATGTTAGATTACACACTTTGGATTATTATACAGTAGGCAGATTTTGATTTAAACCTATAATTTTGTTCAAACTGGGTCGTTTTTGATAACGAAGTAAAAGAGTAGGCGTCTCTCAAATTTTTTGATTTTAATTGAGGTGAAGTGGCAACGGCTAGCCTAGCCTTTAAATGAATGTATCACCATTAAAGATGGCTAGAAATAATTCCCACAGAATAAAAACGGAATATGTTAAGAGACCCAGCTAAAAGCCATATTAAGTTCAATTGAATTCCACATCAAATATCCCGAATCAAACTCTAAACAGTTAATTTCTCAAGAAATATTCAGCTTGAAAGCATCTCAGATTCCTTCATGGGGAGAGAGAAAAAAAGCCAATCCTTCACAGGCAAATGACCAACAAACATAACAATGCTACACGCTGAGTCTCCGCGGTTGTCGCTCCTGTGGCATTAATCACCCGCCATACAGAAAGACCTCGCCTGCTGAAGGCAGCCAGGGCTGTGACTCCATGTCTGGGGAAGGGGAGGGAGGAAGGGATGGAGGGAGGATGCTCAGGGAGGGAGGATGCTCAGAGCCGATGCTACCTCTCCAGACGGCAGGATGAAGTGAACAGTCTGCGTGTTGTTCGCCGCTCTGGACGGTGCCGGGGATGTATTTGTGCAGAAGAGCCGGGGCAGCAGAGACCCAGCAGCATCGCCGCCTCTGAGCCTGACATGAATGACAATTGAAAGACCTCGTTCAAAGGACTGAGCTGCGCTGGAATCTGCAGAAGCCCCGCCGGGCTTTACTCAGACTCTGCTCCACAAAAAAACAAAACAAACAAAACAATTAGACATCTTGGACTACCTCCATTGATGTTTAAAGGCAGTTAGAGCCAGTGGGCATCTTTTGTTGGAAGAGGAATTTTGAATAGGTTTTATTTATTTATTTTTTTCCTCCCCTGATTTTGAGAAGGGAGTTGGTTGAGTTGGGTGTGTTTTTCTTTTGTGAAGCTTGAGGACAAACTTCTGCCATGGCACTGATTATGGAGCCTGTGAGCAAGTGGAGCCCAAGTCAAGTGGTAGACTGGATGAAAGGTGGGTTTTATCGCCTGATCAACGTGACATTTTTCGCAAAACTGCTCAAGTGAATCCAGTGTTGCGCAGCGATCCAACACATTCCGACACAAACTGATCCGAGACGTGGGAAAGGAAAGCAAAACACCTGCTGATCCTCGCCTTCCCACGTCGTCGTTTGGGTCTATATGCAATTGTCATTGATTATTGTTTTTTGGAACGATAGCGCATCCAAACATCTCCATGCGCTTTGAAACCCATTGTGTCCATTGTTAAATCAGAGCTTCCTCCTTGGGGAGGCTGGGGGGAAACAAGAGAGATTTAGTAATTATACCCAGATGACACGGGCTCAGATGAAAACGGGGTAAAGTTACCTGGGAAGTGTGTGCACAGCGATCATTGCAGCATCATCTGCTAAATCCACAGATGTTTGGCAGGACTCTCCAAGTAAGCTGACAGAGAGGGACACCAAGACTTAAAGCTTAAAGCGTTTCCTCATTACCTTTAGTAAAAATCAATGTACTTTATATATAGGCCTACATATAGGTTTTCTATTTGTTTTGGTATTTTTTTGCCATGATGGAAGTAAAAAACCAAAAAACCAAAAACTGCTCATACTTCCTGGTGACATCATAAAAGACACAGCTCTTGCAAAATTCCTTCCTCTTTCCCTTTTTGTTCACATGTTTTACTGTCCTCTGCATAAATTGACTTGGATTCTGAGCACACAGCAAGGAGTTCAGGAAAATTTGGACATAAGAAACAAATAAGTGATTTGTGAAGATGAGAGTCAAACTAAGTTATAAAAAGTGCTCTAGTCTATTGATTTCCTCCATCACCTGTGACATCCACCTAAATAAACAAAAAATTATTGTTCTTCTCCTTTCTCTTGTGTCGCGTTAACAGAAATCCACATGCAGCAAAATTATTACCAGTAGTGTTATTTGAGTCTGTTTTTGTGAAATCTTCTTTTTCTTTTCCCTGCTGTGTTTATTGTTAGTGTTTCACTAACATTTGTTGGTGGAAAGGTACACCAGTGGATAATATTTTTTAAACTATTACACGACAGACAGAGCTTAGATGTGGTTCCAAAGTTTATTCCTGAAGCTTTTGTTTTGTGACGAGGGAATCCTCTGCCTAGCAGAAGCTAACACACATAGAAGGAGATCCATTTCAGACGAGTAGGAGAGCCCTCCTGAGGCCATTTCCCATCTAAGAAATGTTTATGCTTAAACTAATCTGACGTGCCATTACTAAAAGCCTGGAAATTCAGAAATGTTGAAGTTGTTGTGATTAATTTGTCTCTCTATCCAGCTTTGGTAGCTGTGTCAGATTAGTGTTTGCTTTGATCTAGAGATCTGTAAATGTCCCCAAACAGCTGTTGGTTTTTTTTTCTCCACATCCTCAGCCCACTCCCACTGTCTTCACAGACTCCTCATAAGCGACGCTTATTTTTGTCTGTTTACATTACAAAGATATTCCAGAATTCAAATGTGATAGGACTGTAAGTTCCACTTGGAGGTAATTCTCTGCCTGTTCAGATTTGCCTCCCTCCTTCCCCCAGTTCTTTAAATAGTAATTGTCTCAGTAATGTGTTGCTTTGTGCTCACGTGTCAGACCAGGGGCCTTCACATCCACATCCATACATCTGTACCGCTTCAGTACACATTCACGTGTAAATATAGCTTCGTAATTCGCAGCCCGTTGGTCGCTGCTGCTGCTACATGGAGCTGCGTGAGAGATGCTCATTGTATTATAAACATTACTGTTCAATGTCTGTTAAAAAACAAAATTGTGATACATTGTGTGACTCCGTCAACATTTGGAATTCAAAAACTGTATTTTAATTATCACGTATTTGGCCCCTCA